CTTTGCCAGTATTTCTTCTTTAATCAAGCCAAAATCAGTCTGTGTACCAGAGAACTATTCTGGGGCTTTGATTAAAAAGCCACAGAAGATTTTAATCTCTTCTCTCTGAAAACACCCTAAAAACAGGAACAATGCTGTTTTCATAAATCTGACTCAAATGCCATTCAACTGCTATCCCTGAATTAATTTTCATACCTACAGAAAAACCCACGTGTGCAGAAAAACGAAGGCTGGATAAAACCTGGAAAATGGGGGCCAGGGGGAGGGTAGGTTGGTATAAGTCATTATGCGTGACTTTTATTTTGATTTCTAGAATTATTTCTTTCTAAAAAAAATTTTTTTAATGTTTATTTTTTGAGAGAGAGGGAGAGAGACAGAGTGTGAATGAGGGAGGGGCAGAGAGAGAGGGAGACCCAGAATCCGAAGCAGGCTCCAGGCTCTGAGCTGCCAGCACAGAGCCCGACGTGGGGCTCGAACCCACGAACCGTGAGAACATGACCTGAGCCGAAGTCGGACGCTTAACTGACTGAGCCACCCAGGCGCCCCTCTAGAATTATTTCATGAACAATAATTTTGTATAAGCTTAGAGTGAAAAGAATCACCCCATTTCTTTCACGGTAGGCTACTGGACTGGCAGCTCTTGGAGACACCATGAACTTGAAAAAGAAACCGGTAGCCGAGGTCTTAATTGTCTTCCCCCCTAGTTTCTTCCATCCCTGTTTTACGGATGCACTTAGCATAAAAAGTGAGGAAGGCCTGGCCAGCTGTAGGAGCTAATGTAATGGTCATCTGAGCCCATTTTAAAGTTGAGGATACCAAGGCTCAGAGATTATCACAGCATCTTGAGCATTAGAAGGGAGCTTGAAGGCATCTCATCCAAGCCTTTTGCCCTGAGGGGAGAGGTTAAAATTGTGGCCCAAGTTACACAGCTTGTAAGTTGCTGGAGCCAGAACTCGGACCTGTTGTTCTAACATGGTGTTCCTCCCCAGCTGCCTCACTACTTGCTTGGGATCTTCTTGCCTTTGTGAGGGGAAGCTGCCCAGGAATGAGTTCCTGGTGATTTCTGGGGCTGCAGAGGTCCTGATGACAGTTCTACCCTTGGGCTCCGTTGTCAGCCCTGCCGAAGGCCCCCGTAGAGCTATACCTACCATTCAAGGACATTCTTGACCTTCCCCTTCCGTAGTTCAGGAGTTGCTCAGCCAGGTGGGTCTGACCTACCTCCAGGTGGGCTCTGATTCTCAGCAGACTTTGATCTTGGAGACCTCTCTGCGCTCTTGAATCCAGTCCAAGATTCTGGCTCTGGATAAGGGTAGAGAAGGATTGTGCCCTGTGATATCCTGACCTCATCTTGGATCCTGGAAATTCTGACAGTGATTTTTCTTACCAGGCATCTGGTTTTTCCAGACTGCTTTGAGACCAAGATAAAACACACCCATTTACAAGGTGTAGCTCCTGGCTGAGGTTCTTCACCAGCTACTTCTTACCCCTGAGGGTCCTGGGGTGACATCTCTGGCCCAGGGTTCATCTCTCAACTGCTTCTCCAGGTCTTGATTGGTATTTATAATCCCCTCCTTTTTCAGTAAAGAAAGAAAAAGGAAGGAAAGAAAGGAGGGGGGAAGGGAAGGGGGAAGGGAGGAAGGAAGGAAGGAAGGAAGGAAGGAAGGAGAGGGGAAGGAGGAAAGAAGGAGAGAGGGAAGGAGGGAAGGAAGGAAGGTGAAGGAAAGGGAGAGAGGGAGGAAAGAAGAAATTAGAATTTGTCATACTCAACTTTAAGAACATACTTGACAGAAAGTTTTCGTTACTAAATATAGTAACCTTTTCGTGGTGATCATCACCTCTGATAGCTTTGAAATGGCTTTTTGTGGACTCTTGTCTCTCCCATAAAAACCCACATCTGGATAAAGGCTGAAAAACAGCAAGTGTATTCCTTTCTAATTTCCCCACATTTATTTGAGGTGGAAATGATTAGAGGCTCAGTTAATCACTAGTAATATAAACCCTAAAATTGGAGCTCATGGGGTTCTTTTGCTATTCAACAGAGTGCTTCTGTGGCTGTTTTTTGAGCACAAGACACATCTCCTTTCTTTTTACATACAGAGCCTTCTTTGACATACAAGCCAAACATTTACTGGAGACAGCCTGAATAGTATGAGAGAGAATGTCTGTTTGTTTTGTTTTGTTTTGTTTTTAAAACAGTGGATCCTACAGGGTATCCTTACAGCGTAAAAGAGGTGTGTTTCATATAGAACAGTGGAACATAGGCAATTTGTGAAGTAGGAAGTGAGCACAACAGGTTTTTTTCAATTTACTTAAAATATTTTGAATCCTTGGCATTCTTAACCATTCAGGAGTCTCTAGCCCTAGGTTTTGAAATATGAACCAAGGAGGGTTGATACTGGAGTTGTGTGTATGTGTGTGTGTGTGTGTGTGTATGTGTGTGTGTCTGGGCAGTAATATGAGAAATGTTTGTGTATGTTTGTTCCAAAAATATTTTAAAATGGCTGATCAGAAATACATTCAGAAATGCTTGCACAAAATAAAGAGGTCAAGACAGAGGTGGAATTTGTAGGAAAATAAAATTAAACCAGCGATAAGGTTGCTATGCAGATATTCCGTGTGGGGTTATTTCATTTGGCCTGCTAACCGCTGCGGGAAGTACAGCAGAATTTAAATGAAGACTCTAGTATTGATTATAATTCACATCTCTTTTCATTGACCTAGAGTTCTTAACTGTGCCCACGCAACTATAAACTTTCACAGACTAATTATCTTAGTTTGTAAAGGAGCATATCCAGTGATCTCCTCCTTGACTCTTTCTGCCCTTTGTCATTTTATTTCCAATTAACATATCACCCTAGAAGGTGGATGGAGGAAAAGAGATGTACAGATCATCCCAGCCCATCTTATCTCTTGGTTTAAAGAAGAGAGGGGTGGAGGGGAATGGGGCTCCTAGCTGGTGACTCTTGATCTCAGGGTTGTGAGTTCGAGCCCCATGTTGGGCATAGAAATTGCTAAAAAATAATAATAATAAATGTAAAAAAAATTTAAAAAGGGGGGTTGGGAAAGGGCAAAGTGTGGGAGTGGGAAAGAGGCAGTTAGATGTTAGGACCGTTTGAAATTTGTGATTCATAGTTACCAAAGCCAGCACAAGAAAAGAATTCATATAGACACCTGTGAAGGCAAGCTTTCAGAGAAGGTGCACTTAACCCTTGAACAACACAGGTTTGAACTGTGCAGGTACATTTACACACATTGTTTTGTGTTTTTTGTTTGTTTGTTTTTTGTTTTTTTCAGTAAATACAGTCCAACACTGTAAATGTATTTTCTCTTCCTTACATTTTTTTTTTTAATTTTTATATTTGAGAGAGAGATAGCCAGATCACATGCAAGCAGGGGAGGGACAGAGAGAGAGGGAGACAAAGAATCTGAAGCAGGCTCCAGGCTCTGAGCTGTCAGCACAGAGCCCAAAGCAGAGCTTGAACTCACAAGCAGTGAGATCATGACCTGAACCGAAGTTGGACATTTAACCGACTGAACCACCCAGGCACCCCATGACTTTCTTAATAACGTATTTCTCTAACTCACTTTATGATAACAATACAGTATACAATACACATAACATACAAAATATGTGTTAATTGACTGTTTTTGTTTATCAGTAAGGCTTCCAGTCAACAGCAGGCTGTTAGTAGTTACGTTTTTTGTGGAGACAGAAGTTATACGTGCATTTTCAAATGTGTGGGGGTTGGCGCCCCAGACCCCAGCATTGTTCAGGTGTCCACTGAATAACGTTTCTTGATTTTGAACATTTTCCTACACTCACATAATTATAAGCCTCAGTGTCCACAATACTCAGATTCAGTAGCCTCTCGATCAGACCAATTTGGACACATCGTTATCTAGAAATTACTAAAAAGGATTGGGGTGCCTAGGTGGCTCAGTTGGTTAAGCGTCCAACTTAGGCTCAGGTCGTGATCTCACGGTTTGTGGGTTCGAGCCCCGCTTTGGGCTCTGTGCTGACAGATCAGAGCCTGGAGCCTGCTTCAGATTCTGTGTCTCCCTCTCTCTGCCCTCCCCCACTCATGCTCTGTCTCTCTCTGTCTCTTAGAAATGAATAAATGTTAAAAAAAAAATGTAGACATAACTAAAAGGGATTCAGAGAGCCTTAGACAACACATTTGTTCAACAATGTGTGAATATATCAAACCAAGAGAACATTATGCTATTACAGAAGATGCATAAACAAGGAGTATCATAAAAACTACCATGAGAAGAGTATATATGAGGAAATGAGAAAAATGAACACTGGTATGTAAACTATAAAACCTAGGACACCTAAGCTGCCTCGCTGGCTGAGTTAGTAGAGCATGTGAGTCTTGATCTCAGGGCCATGAGTTTGAGCCCCTGGTTGGCGGAAGAGATTACTTTAAAAAACAAATAAATAAGGGGCGCCTGGGTGGCGCAGTCGGTTAAGCGTCCTACTTCAGCCAGGTCACGATCTCGCGGTCCGGGAGTTCGAGCCCCGCGTCAGGCTCTGGGCTGATGGCTCGGAGCCTGGAGCCTGTTTCCGATTCTGTGTCTCCCTCTCTCTCTGCCCCTCCCCCGTTCATGCTCTGTCTCTCTCTGTCCCAAAAATAAACGTTGAAAAAAAAAATTAAAAAAAAAAAAAAACACAAATAAAATGTAAAATACCTAAGGTGGACCAAGAATAAGGGGAGTGTGTAAAAACAAAATAATTATATTGGGTTGAGTAAAATGATGAATTTTGTTTCCTGCCCAGAAGGATTTGGGACGTTTTGTCATTATAATAAACATAATTGAAGGAGGAAAGAGAGAAAACCAAAAGCTTTCAAGTGAAGAATATATTTTACAGAATTGCGGAATAAATGTGTACTTTTTATTCATTAAAATGTTTGTTTTTTGAGACTCAAATTTCCAGACTCATGGAAGATCATCTAAACTATGTTTCATGCCATTAAAATGTGGGGGTCTTTGGCGGGTATTTTTCCATAGAAATGCATACAGGAGAACTCAATGCTATTCCTCTTTTCTTTTTTCTGATCTTGTTTCTCTTAGGGATTGCCATCGGCATCTTGGTTCGAGAATACAGCAAGCTGTCTAGTCTGGAGAAGTTCTACTTTGCTTTCCCCGGGGAAATTCTAATGAGGATGCTGAAACTCATCATTTTGCCGTTAATTATATCCAGCATGATTACAGGTACCTTGAGAAAACTGATGGTTCTCTGTGATTATTTAAGGAGCTGTCTCTTAAGTTGTGCTTTTCTAATGATGAAAAAAATTGAAATGCATTTGATGTATCTCACGCATCACACTCTCTCTCTCTCTCTCTCTCTCTCTCTCTCTGCTTACTTGGAAAGTATATATTGGCTTGAGTGGGAATATTTCATTACTCACAAAGTGCCACTGCTCTACCTAGGGCACGGTCCACCATAGCTCACAGCTTCATTTGGCCAGCCACGTGATGTCTTGTGAGGAAGATGCCATTTTCTTTTTTCTTTTCTTTTTTTTTTAATGTTTATTCATTACTTTTGAGAGAGAGGGTGAGCGGGGGAGGGGCAGGGAGAGAGAGGGGGATAGAGGATACAAAACGAGCTCTGGCCCAACAGCAGAGAGCCCGTTGTGGGGCTTGAACTCAACGAACTGTGAGATCATGATCTGAGCCGAAGTCAGACGCTCAACCGCCTAAGCCACCCAGGTGCCCCGCAAGATGCCATTTTCAAACGTACTATAAATAACACTCTATCCAGGACACAGGAGTAAAACAAAAACAAAACAAAACAAAAAAAACACCATATTTGGCCACTGAAATGTCAACCGTTGTCCCCAGGCGAAATGTGGTTGTCAGTTTTGAAATTGTTTTCGGTAGTTCACTCATCTGTTTCCCACCTGCAGCCGTCCTGGCCCCCCCACCCACCCTGGGCAGCTGCCCTTGGAGTCTCTCCGCCTTCCCCGCTGGGCTTCTACTCCTCCGCATACCTGCCCTTGAAAACTCACAGCCGCGTGCTGCAGAAAACGTTTCATTATGGGTTTGCACCGCATTTTAACAGCCTGGCATTTTCACATCTGAACTTGTGACACAGTTGGCTTTGGAAATGCTTTCTCCCTTAGTGGCCATTCTCTTGCAAGGTCCCTCTAAAGAGCAGGCTTCCCGCTGGAGGTGGAGAGTAATTTGGCTTACAGAAATGTCATTTGTGTGGGTGCGGTGAGCTTCTCAGTGCATTCCAGAGTCTCTCGTACTCACCTTCGTTCTGACAATAGGTAAAATGTGGCCCGCCCCTCACTAGTATTGTCTGCTTGAAAAAACTCAGGTTTTATGTAACCGCACAGTTAGGAATCTTGACGTGTCCTTTTCCAGAACATTTTTCCCCACTGCCACTACGACGACCTGGGGCTTTTATCTATGGGGAGCCCTGGATGTTAGCCTTGGGTGGGGGCAGGGGACAGGATTTGCTGTGCCCAGCTATAGATCTGGCTTTTGAACTTTCCAAGTGCCAAACTCCAGTCACATTAGAATCTCCTGGTCTGGGTGTTCTTGGCTTATTACCAGCCTAAAAAGAGCGTTTAATTATTTGTATGTATGTGTTTAATTGTGTTTTGAAACGCCCGGCTTCTTTTAGGCCCTGCAGCCTGAGGGCCAAATCAGCAGGCCAGTGTGTTGTACCATGTATTGTTCATCTGTTCCACTTTAAGTTAGTGTGAGCATCTGAAACTTGCAAGATTTCATGTAGGCATCTGGATTTCTGGCTTCCTCTGAAAAAAATTAAGATCACAAAACACTGGACCCATGTACCCCCCTCCCCCCCCCCCCGCCCCAAGACCAACAGTGATCTGGAGCTAAGAGACAGCTACTCTATTTAGTTTGAAGCTAATATGTTTGAGGATACCGCGGCCCCCCTACCCTATCATCTGACACCTTGTCCATGGCGCTCATTTACCTGCTGGCCCAGTAGATGTTGCCTTTATCACCCCTTAGAATTTTCTCAGCCTCACAATTCTAAATCTCTTCTGAGGCTCCTTTGAAAAGATGATGAGAGCTTTGTACTCTCTCCCAAGAAAAACATTCACAGTTAAACATATAATACTATACTTGGCATGCACTTGTACAAGGTACATAAATCACTTGATGATCAATACCACTTAAAACTTGGGTCTGTGGAGGAATGTATGGAAAGTTGATCCAAATTCGGCAGCAAATCCAAAACTCGTGCGTTAAACCGGGTTTGAGAAGAAGAGGTAAAAATACATGTGTGAATATACTAGTATAATATGTGATGTTTGAAATATGTATCAGTTTTGGCAGTCAACATCTAGTGGTATTTTTGCAGTCGGGCTGTTTTGTGTGCTAGCTCAGCTTTGCAGATAATCTAGGAAAATAATTTGCAACCCTCAGCACTTTGCTCACCACGTAGCCCAGCTGCTTTTTCAAGCTGTATCACAGGTCTGGACATTAAAAAAAAAAAAATGTTTTTAAATGTTTGTCTATTTTTGAGAGAGCACAAGCAGGGAGGGGCAGAGAGAGAGGGAGACATAGAATCTGAAGCAGGCTCCAGGCTCTGAGCTGTCAACACAGAGCCCGAAGCAGGGCTTGAACTCAGGAACCTTGAGATCATGACCTGAGCCAAAGTCGGACATTTAACCAACTGAGCCACCCAGGCGCCCCCTTAACATTTCTACATTTTTCCTTTACCAAACGCTGGCAATTAAGAGCAAAAGAGCACAGAACCGCTACCCCATTCTGTTGTCCTGAGCAACAAAATAGTCAAAAGATTCAAGGGACATGAACAAAGCAGGATGGGAACAGTGATCTCATATTCATGTTTTAAATTGTCAGATTAAGGTAATATGACTAGCGCGGGCAAGGTTGTGGGAAAACAGGCTCATTCATACATTTTCAGTTTGGAACAAATTTGGTGGGGGGCAACTTAGAACATGTTCTGATCTCTCTACTTTGTAATTCTGCTTCTCAGAATTTCTTGTAAATAATCAGATATGTTCAAAGATTTAGGTACAAGGATGTTCATAAAAGCATTACTTTTATAATGGTGGTAAATTATAAGTAGGCTCACTGGAAGTTATACACCTAAGCTATGAGTCTACAACTATTAAAAACCTTGTCTTGGAAACATTTAATGACATGTGGATATGTTCTAACACGGTGTAAAATAGGAAAATAAAACAAATTACACAATAGGATGTTGTATACAATCCAAATTTTATTAAAATTTATGTGCATTTTTAAAAGTTGGGATGAAAACCAAATAGTTAATAGCAGTTAGATATGGATAGTAAGAAAACATGACTCATTGCCCTTCCTTTACATTTTCAAGGTGACTACGTGTTTGTTTTCTTAAAAACTTATTTTTTTTTTGTTTTATTTCTTATATTTGAGAGACAGAACATGAGCGGGGGAGGGTCAGAGAGAGAGGGAGACACAGAATGTGAAGCAGGCTCCAGGCTCCCACAGCTCTGTTCCCAGCACCTGTAGCTCTGCACCACCTTTTCCGTGGTGCGTGGTCCTTTCTCCAAACCCTGCGGTGGTCCTCTGCCTCCCCAGTTCAGCACAGAGCCAGGAGTGGAGGATGGCTGTGGAAATGCACAGGAAGAACAGTCTTCACATTTCAGAAGCCTTTATAAATGCAGCAGACATTAGCTTATTTTATACACTTATTAGGACAAAGAAAGATGCTTGTTGGAAGCTGGCGAGAGTTAAATGGATGTCCTAAGGACACACACATTAGAGGGAGAAACAAAATTGAGACCTATGATTAGTAATCTGTGCTTCTGCATAAAGGAAACTCTCTTGATGGATTAACATGTAGGAAAATTAAAAAAAAAAAAAACCCTCTGCCATGAAAGCCTCCACTGACATAAAAATAGTTCATAGCTGTTTCTTTTTAAACAGAAGCATCCTTTTTCATGTGATGAGTGAGGGTAACATGTCACATTAATTGGGGAAATTTGAATATAGGCTTAGATGGTACCAAGAAATTATTGATAATTTTGTTAGTGGTGATAACGGCATTTTAGTTATGTAAGAAAATTTCCTTTTTAATGAATATGGAATTATGCAGGGATAGAATGACAGAATGTCTAGAATTTAGTTAAAACAGGAAAAAAAGAGAAAAGGCACAGTAGATGTAATCTCAAGGCATTTTTAGAGACAGGCAGTGTAGGCACTAACAGAATCCTTCCTGTAATTGACATTCTGAGGATCATGCTCCTGCGGGTGTGCAGAATATCTGTTTGGGCCCCCTTAACGTTTAGGTTTCTAAGCTGTGCTTGTATCAAACCACTGGGGAATTAGCAAGAGAATTGTGGTTCTGGAAAGTCCTGGTCCAGGTCTCACCACCAGTGAGTTTAAATTCAGGGCACATTTTCTTGAATACACAGATGATGATGACCTAGGCCTCCCATGACCATCGCAGAAAAGGGAACGGCCCCTCAACCCGTCTCCCAGGGGTTCCCTGAGCATCATTCCAAGATGGCACCTTAGCTGTGCTCAGGATGAGACCCCCATCCTTTCCACTGCAGCCTCTTGGCCGCCACCACTGGGCCAGAAGTGCTCTGCCGGTCACAGCTGCCTCCTCTGGTGTCTCCAGTGACTGCGGCCACACCTCTGACCCTGAGGAACTCTCCTTTTGCTCCTCTCTCCTAAGATAGGAATGAGAATTCTTCACAGGCTGTTCCTTGGGACAAAGCTTTATGGAAGTTTGGGGAATGAAAGTAGGTGAAACACCAACAGTGCCATCCAGCCTGTCCCTTAAGAGGGAGGCCTTAAGAGGTCTGCCCCTTTGCTCAGCCGCCAGCCCGTCCCTCCACATGATGTTCCAGGCATTGCCATCCCCTGACACGAGGCTTTGAGAAGGAAGAATTTCACCATCACATAGGTCTGCCTGCCCCAGCCCGGAAGCAAACCAAGTGGAAACCCTCGTTGTGGGTGCAAAGGGGTGATTTGCCTTGTGGGCCCCATCGGACACTCACTACAGAATGGATAGCATCTGCACCTGCTGGGTTGGGGCTTACCCACCCAACCTGCAGGACGTGGGAGTCTGTCCGGGTTGGGCTGTGTTGAGTCCATGCCACTGCCGGTGCAGTCTGTCCTGAGAGCAAGATGCTTACTCCTGCCTGTTCCTGTGGCGCCTTACTTTGGATTTCCTCCACATGTTGGCTCCTCGGAAGCACCCACACTGTACTTTG